GGGGAGAGAGAGAGGAGAGAGGGAGAGGAGAGAGAGAGAGAGGGAGAGACGGAGAGAGAGAGAGAGGAGAGAGAGAGAGAGAGACCCGGACCCAGAGACCCAGACACAGAGACCCGGACACAGAGACCTAGAGACAGAGATACAGAGAGACAGAGACACAGAGAGACAGAGACATACAGCGGTCTCCGGGCTGCTCCAGCGGCGGCAGCACCAGGTCGAACGGCCGGCGCCTGGTACCACCGGCCACGTCGGTGGGCTGGAACGAGGCGGAGTCGAGGGCGGCCGCCGGCAGCTCGTACTCTGTCTCCCAGCGCACCGTCACCCGCCAGTCAGTCGACACCTGGTCGGACGAGGACATGGCTCAGACACCGGCCAGGGATGAGAGCATACCTCAGACATCGATCGGAGGAGGAGAGCATGGCTCAGACATCGGCCGGGGAAGAGAGCATAGCTCAGACATCGACCGGGGGAGGAAAGCATAGCTCAGACACCGGCCGGGAGAAGAGAGCATAACTCAGACATCGGCCAGGTCTGGAGGGTACGCCCAGACACTTGTAGAGTGGCGGTGCCCGTGCGACGAAGATGGCCCGTGCGATTCACTCAGTGTGTTGTCATCCTACATATGTTCCGACGAAATCATTCAGTCCTGATAGTTGTCTGTGTGCCTTGAAGCTACCACCCCCCACTAAGATGCACACCCAAGTTGTTCAACTGAAAACGCAGTATGCACCTGAGCCGGAATGTAGATGGGCTCATATGGGCTAAAGAAGTCTTGGTTTCGGTTGATCCACAGCCTGGGCCGCCGCTGCCGCCCGACGAACACCTCTGTCGAGGCCTCGTCCACATCACTGTTCTTTTCCACGCGCAGGGTGAAGCGGTACCACCTGCAAAGGCATCGGAATATCACATTATATACAAAAAAACTTTATAGCGTTACAATAATGAACGGAAACACACTTTCTGCATGCTTTTGTTTCAAACACCGGGCGGCGTTTAAAACATTCGAGCCATCACGCAATGTTTGGTTTGTGCTCGTGCGGCAGCCACAGAGAGTACAGAAGCTGAACGAGTCGCCAGAAGAGGGCGCATCCTGCCTGCCGCTGCCATCCGCCGGCGTCTCGGGCTACGTATCGCGTGTCCCTCACGTGTCGGCGCCGAGCAGGTCTGCCGGCACACGCAGAGTCGGCTGGCTGACGGCCTCCTGGCCCAGGTGCTGCTCCAGGCGGCGCAGCGCCCCGGGTTTGCCGACGAAGCAGCCGCCGCCGCCGTCGGCCAGCTGGCAGCTCCATGTAAAGGCGAGCGAGCCGGGGCGCCTGTCCAGGTCAGCCGAACGCGAGCCGTCCAGGAAGACCGGCTGGCCGGCGGACACTGAGCGTCGTTCGGCCGGCAGCCGGGCGCGCACGCCGCCACCTACCGGCCGCAGACGCAGCGAGCCCTGCAAGGAGAGAGGGTCGAGGCGTCAGGACAGTCAGCAGGCTGCTGCCGCTCCTCGGTGGACCGCTGAACTTTCTTCATGGAGCATACAGCACAGCCATAACGACTGCGAAAATTTTTGGAGGTTTATGGATTGTCAATCAGTGATCCCAGCAGGTGTAATTATAACACCGGCAATCCAACGTAATTCATGTACAGCCACGGTGTAAGTGATCCGTGCAATAACAGAAGGGAACATCGCCGCGGCTACCAAAGTGAACATTATTTAACGGCTAAGAGGAGATCCTCAGGCTCTGAGAGACGGCCACCGATCAGCTGGCGGGCTTCCGACTGACCGTGCCCACATCTCCGGTATCCATCGAGGTAACCACGCAGGTGAGGACGAACTCGGACTGCCAGACCAGCTGAGCCGTGTCCAGCCGCAGGGTGGCGCTGTCCAGGCCCTCCAGAGCCGAGGCCGGCATCCCAGGCAGGCGCCAGGCGTACTGGGGCAGCAGGCACACGCTCAGAGCGAGAAACGAAGGGATCCGAACGTACTAGGGCTGCAGGCACACGCCGAGGGTAAAACACGACGGGGTAGAGCGTACTGGGGCAGCAAGCACACGCTCAGAGAGGGAAACGAGGGGATCCGGACGCACTAGGGCAGCAGGCACACGCCGAGAGTAAGAAACGACGGGGTCGAGCGTACTGGGGCAGCAGGCACACGCTCAGCGTCAAAAACGACTGGATCCAGGCGTTCTGGGGCAGCAGACACACACTGAGAGTCGGAAACGGTGGAACCTGGGCGTGCTGGGGTAGAATGGCACACGCTGAGTGAGAAACGTTGCAGACGATCCAGCTAGGCTCAGGCGGCGTACCGCGGCAAAAGCCCACACGATAAATAATAAGCACGACACGGGCATCCTAGCGTGGCGGGGCAGACGCACACACACGCACACACACACACACACACACACACACACACACACACACCACACACACACACACACACACACCACACACACACACACACACACACACACACACACACACACACACACACACACACACACACACACACACACACACACACACACACACACACACACATACACACACACACATACACACACACACACACACACACACACACACACATACACACACACATACACACACACACACACACACACACACACACACACACACCACACACACACCACACACACACACACACACACACACACATCGGGTATTAGGAGGAACATGGGTGTTGCCATTCCCGGCCGGCGTCACGTATTCTGGGACAGGCGGCCGCCGGACCGGGCACAGCCTGTCGACGCGCAGACGGAAATGGCTGGTTGTGCGGTGAAGTCGAGTGGAAATGACCGCATGTCATATCAGGTCACTTGCTGATAAAAAAACAAATGCTGTGCTGCTAGGCTTAGAGAGCAAATGTCTAGGTATACGATTATATAAGCAAACAAATTTGACAAAACCCATAACGGCTGGATGACGCATTATAGCGGTTTTTTATCTCTTATACTTATCGACCAGCAGTATCATGACACAACAAATTCCGCGCACCATAAGCGCCTTAGTTTTGCACACCCCACGGGAGCGTCAGCTTAGCTTCATCACATTATCAGCGTCCCCGTGTCAGCCCGCCGGCCAGAGACCCCACCATCGGTGCGAGCGGTCGGCGCCCGCCATCGGCTTAGCTTCATCACATTATCAGCTTCCCCGTGTCAGCCAGCCGTCCAGAGACCCCACCAGCGGTGCGGGCGGCCGGCGCTCGCCATCGGCTTAGCTTCATCACATTATCAGCGTCCCCGCGTCAGCCAGCCGTCCAGAGACCCCACCAGCGGCCCGAGCGGCCGGCGCTCGCCGTCGCCCACCTTGAAGCCGCGCTGCTCGCCGCCGCAGAGGACGGCCGTCGCTCGGTAGGTGTAGAGGCCGCCGGCGGCGATGCGGTCAGGGCCGACCACGGCCACCGAGAGGCCCGAGCTGACCACGCGGAACGCGCGGAACAGGCTGCGCGAGCCGCCTGCCCACGTCTGCGCCTTCGCAAACACCTGGTAGTTGAAGTCGTCGGCGATGAGCTGTGGCGACGGGGCAGCGCAGGCTGTGAGTGCGTTGTTTGCTGGGCCGTGGCGTTCGTGATCGCGTTGTTACCACGAACAACACTGGTGTTCAGCATGGCCAATGATGGCATGCACAGGGTCAAAGGGTTAAATGTGAGCAGATGTCATATAGTATGGACTTCGGTAGAGCTTATTATCTACATGGGCTGTTATCTTACCAAATGTACCAAACATACTTTCATTTTTCTATCAACATTATGCTATTTCTATCGCTTCTATAGGAGCAACAAGTTTATATATATATATATATATATATATATATATATATATATATATATATATACGCTGCCACCAGCTGCCACCACACACTCGAAGACAGGGAAGCAGCTGGCTGCAGCGGGCATCCGGCTGTACGGCTACACGCACGCGCGCCTCTGACCGGTGACGTGTTGATGGTGTAGACGGACACGGCTCCCGTCCCGTACGTCGCATCGCGTTCCATGACCTCGTTGATGCCCTGCCAGACTTCCAGCGTGGTGCGCTGCGTCAGCGTGGTGTCCGCCTCCAGCGTCACGTTCCACGTGTAGGTGAGCGCCCGGCCGAGGCCCTCCAGCGTCAGCGCCCGGTAGGTGGCGCGTGAGTCGGCCGCCGAGCACACCACCGACGGTCCGACCAGCGAGAACTCTGGGGGTACCTGCGGAGGGGAGGCGGCCTGAGCTGACCGGCCCCGGGCTCAGGCGCAGGGTACGCCACCGGCTGCCTGGTGGGTCACGACAGCGGTCGTACCCGCGGCAGGGAGTGACCTGGCCTGACCTACCCCACCTCAGGGCGCACCACCGACAGCCCTCCGGCAACGTCTGTCGCAGCATTACTTAAATGGCACAGCCATGCTCGCTACACCCCTCTCCCTACATCGCCGCCACTGTGGTGAGAACGTGCAGAACATGCTGTCCCGGTAAGCACCCCGATGCCCTATAACAGCGTAACAACAGGCAATGTCATTCCCTTACGGTGCAGATCTTTAATCCTGCGGTGGAGACCAAACATCTACCTCGCACGACATGACGCCGACTACCGCGCGCTTCGCCCTGACTGAGATCACTGCTCCCAATAACGGGGTTGAAATTCATTTGTTGCTGCTTCGTTGTCCGGCCGCTTCGATGCCCGTCCGCGACCGAGCCTACGCCGCATTCGTACCGCCATGGCCTCGGCGAAGCTGACGCTGACAGAGCCGGTGGCGCGGCCCGCCAGCGGCCCGCTGCCAACGCCGCGGCTGACAATGGCGCTGCCCCCGGCCAGCGTCAGGGTCAGCGGCCCGCTGGGCGGCGCCATCTTGTCGCCGGGCCGGATCAGCAGCTGACTGCCGCGCACCTGGCAGGCTGTGGGCCAGGGCGCACACAGCTCACGGCGGGCATGAATGGCGGTGGAACCCCCATGAGCGGTATGGCAGGGCCTGGGTACAGATGCGTTCAATGGCAGCTGGGTCGTTTCGCAAGTTGGGTGATCGAAAGACAAACTTGATCCGAACTCGGATATACCTAGCATATCCACCTGTTGCCTTCTTAGAATATCTTCTTTACGCCAAAGGGAACCCATAGAGGCGATATCACTGGCCGACGAGCTCAGCGTCAGCGTTGACTGAGCGCGAACGAGACGTCTCCTGCTGCAGGGCCGCGGGAGACGTCGCGGGCGCCCAGCCGCCACTCACCGGCGTCGCCGAGCTGCTGCAGGCTGTCCGCGTCCAGCAGCTGCTCGCAGCTCTGCTCAGAGGTCACGGGCCGGTCAAACTCAACGCTGATGTGGCGGTACGGAGCCGTGAAGCCGGCGCTCACTATGCGCGGCGCGGTCGACACCATGTCCAGGTGGATCGGCGCGCACGTCTCCCCGCACCTGCCGAGCGGCCCGGGTCAGCTGACGCTCGGATTACCTGGGGATTGGCATAAGTAGCCAGCAGCATGACAGGTCCACTGGTGAGGAATGCACCAGCCTGCTTAACAGGGATCGTGGCCACAGTCGGGTTAATACCTTATTTAGGCTGGCTGAACCGAATGGTTCAGACACGCCATCCAATTTCAGTGGGTCTTAACGACAGACCTAATACAAAGGCACGGGTATACCTCACGCTGCAATTCAAAGACATCACCATGTACATAGCTCGTTGCTTCAGCCCAGCAGCCGTCATGCCTCATCGCCTGAGTCCTGGGCTGACCCCTGACTGGACACGACACTGACCCCTGCTTGAGCAGCGCCTGCACGCCGGCCTCGTCGTAGGCGACGACGGCGCGGTAGCGGCCGGCAACCGGCAGTCGCGGCAGCCAGGCCTGCAGTGAACCGGCGCCGCCCTTGCGGCTGGTGCCGGCGGCCGGCTTCCGCAGCAGCACGGCAGTGTACGACGGCCGCACGCCGGCCGGCGACAGCAGGCCCAGCAGCACCGGCGCCCCGGCCGTCGGCGTCGTCGACAGCGTCACGCTCACCTGTGGAGGGGTCCAGCTGTAGCCGACTGATGTGTAAATCTTTGAGGGCGCTTCGACTGCGCTAGTCATTTAGGGCAGAGCTGCACACGGCGCGCACCCCATCCAAGGAGGGCAAGAGGGGCGGGAACGCGGCGCAGACGAGACGGGAGCAGGCACAACTCCGAAGAAGGGCCGACCGGTGCGGCAGCGTTGGAAGTAAGCGCCGTTGCGGGCCGGATTTACACCAGGAAAACAGCCAACTAACAAGCGACAGTCAGACAGGCGAAGTCAGTCAGACGACCCCACACGCGGCGCGTCCGTCGGCACGGGCCCAGCGCCCAGCCGGAGTGACATACCATGTTCTCCTCCCCCAGCGTGCCCTCGGGCGGCTCCAAGGAGGCGATGCCCAGACTGCTGCTGTTCACCAGCATGAAACTGTCGGCCGAAGTCATGTCGCCGCAGCCGAAGTCGTACGAGCCGAGCGGCAGGTCGGCCGGCAAGTTCGCGCCGACGGCCCACTTCCTGCGCCTCGTGCCGGCCGCCGTGATGATCAGCGTCTCGTGCGGGAAGGTGGAGACCTGCAGGTGGGGCGTGCGATGTCCTCATCGGGCGGCATGGAGAAGAGTTGAGCACAGTAACAGCGGGCTGATGCGGGAGTGTGAACGAGCACGGAGAGAGTCTCTGCTGATATCAGCATCAACCACGCTGCCCCGCGCTGACAAACCGCTCATAAATAGCAGTCTCTCTCCGTCCCACTGAACAATTGTACCTTAAGCGCCCTGCCACATGAAATGTGGAATGACTGTGTGAGATGTAAAATGTGAAATTATACGAAGCCTCCGGGACAGCTGATCCATTACGCATGAGACTTTCATATGCTGCTCTCATTCCGTAGAATCCAGGCGGGTGGCTGAGCACGTTGAACCCATTCCATTAGACGCAGCCGATCAGTTTGGTTTCGTGTCTCGCTGACGGTAAACGCCATGTCTGAGTGTGCACACGGTCACTGGCATGGGTCACAGACCCTTGACCGACGCAGCAAGCCGCGGCGCACAGTCCCCACTCACGTCCGTCTTCTCGCCGCCGGCGTTCTGCACGAAACAGCTGACCAGCGTGGGGTCCCAGGGTTTCGTCTGGTTGCGCAGCGGCAGGGCGACGGTGGCGGGCTCGTTGGTTCCCAGTCGTGCCACGTCCACCACCGCAGGCGGCCGACCGAACCGCTTGCAGGCTGCGGCAGTCGGGGCGGTGTGAAGTGCTAGGATGCGTCACGCAGGGATGGGCCAGAGGGATCACATAGTCGAGAAGACCTCTCCGGGCTTGCTGATGGAGAAATGGCCGAGTTTAATGTTATCTGGCGAATGATCTAGGGTCATACAGCTGGCAGAGCCCCATAGGTGATCACTTAACAATGCCATTAAGTTATCATCCGATTGTATCACCTACAAGGAGTTAGTTTAGGTGTGGAGACCAAGCCGCCTGAGTGTACAAATATGCATTCACCAGAGTTAAAGCATGCCACCGAAGTGAAAAAATCCATAATATTCGAGCCAATCTGAGTGCTGCACGCGCTGAGCTGAACACAACGAAAACGCCAGATGGCGCGACATAACCTCCCGCTCCCTGGCCCCTGCCCAGACGCCCATGCACGGGCCACGCGCCGACGCTCCGGCGCCCGCCCGGCTCCGCGCGCCGCGCGCGGTCGGCCCCACTCACCACCCCAGTTGGCGGCGGCTGGGTGGCGACACTGGCCGCAGCGGTCGAGCCGGCGCGGGCTGGACAGCTCGCCGTCGCACGCCTCCTCCGGGCAGGCAACCAGCGGCTGCGCCTCGCCGCTGGTCGCCGAGCAGCGGCCGCACGAGTCGCGGCCGTGCGTGGCCGTCAGGCCCGTGGTGCCCAGCACGCAGTGGCCGCACCTGAGCGCCGACGCGGCGGCGTCAGAGCACGCGGGAGACGTACGCCGTGGCGGTGGCGGACGCGGGAGCAGAGGGACGGTATGACAGTGTCGGAGGCGAGGAGCGGAAGGAAGCGATGGCGGCGTCAGAGACGGGAACAGAAGGACGCGATGACAGTGTCAGAGACTGGGACAGAGGGACACCACGGCGGCGTCAGAGACGGGAACAGAAGGACACGATGACAGTGTCAGAGACTGGGACAGAGGGACACCACGGCGGCGTCAGAGACGGGAACATAGGGACGGCATGGTGGCGTCAGAGACGGGAACAGAGTGACGGCATTGCAAAGCCAGAAACAGGGAACAGAGGGGAGCCATGGTGGCGCCAGAAACGAGAACAGAAGAACGCCATGGCGGCGTCAGGGATAGAGACAGCGGGACGCCATGGCAGTGTCAGAGATGGAACAGGAAGGCAGCATCGGAGACAACACGGGACAGCACGGTACGGAATTATGCTGGTATGGAGTGACCGCACGCTGAAGGGCTGACCCTAGCAATGCTGAGCGAATGTGAAGTGTGAGTGGCCGGGAAAGTCGTTTTGACACCTCATGATGCGATACTTAAGGCCGATGCTACACGCTGAGCACATCTTCTAGCAGATCTGGCTGAAGCTCAGCAAAAAACAGCAAAAAAAAAACAACAAAGCGATCCACCGATACCCCGGAATGGGCAAACAGTCCGCAATAACCCTGCACGTTACGCCACCACGATCACGCACACACACGCACGCACACACACACACACACACACACACACACACACACACACACACACACACACACACATACACACGCGCGCACACACACACACACACACACACACACACACACACACACACACACACACACACACACACACACACACACACACACACACACACACACACACACACACACACACACACACACACACACACACACACACACACACACACACACATCACGCATGTACGGTTGCGTAGCTGCGCCCAGCAGTGCCGCTGGGCGTCGCGGCGCGCCCCACCCCTCGCTCACGGGTTGTAGTAGGCGCCGGAGCCGCTGACGCTGTCGCAAGGCGCCACAGCGGCCGGCTCCTTCAGGGCGCACACCTCTGCGTCCTGGATGCGCACAAGTTCGCTTTCCATGCACTGGTGGGCGCAGTCCCGCTCCGGCTCCAAACCAGTGGCGCCGCCTACGCACCGCTCGCAGTCTGTGAACGCAGCTGGCGGGGCGGGGGAGAGCAGACGTCAGTCGGCGACTGAGGTAGTGGCCGACTGCAGCTAGGATGGGAACGCAAAGCGCGCCATTTGTAATGGTCCCAGTTTGAGTTGGTGTGGCATACCCCGAACTGAGATAGTGGATATATAGAATTTAGTGACTGGGAGCTTGACTAGTGGACAACCTCGCGCTGCCATCGTGTGCCTGAGGGCTTTCGCAGCCTAAACCTTCCACTGTCCATGAGCTTAGATGGGGTTATTGAATATCGAGGCAAAGATTAGCTAAATGACCACCTGCAGACCAACTCGATGAATTGTGTATGTCCGCAGGCATGCCGTATGAGATTTCGCACTGAATCGTAATTCGAACGGCAGCGACATTTCAAACTAATCCGGGAAAATAAAATGCATGGGTGCATGGCAACATCACTACAATCTAGTCGGCGAGCGTCGGTACGCCACACAACTCGACGAGAAAGGACGCGAGCGCCACATTCACGTCAGACAGCCATAAACACGTCCATCGACCGACGCCTTCGGCGTCTCGGCGCACACGGCGGCATGCGGCGAAGGATCGATGCTGCCCGGGTGTAAGGAGTTAATGGCGACGGACACGCGACGGCCCGACACCAAAGGCAGTCTCGCGGTCACTGACGGCTGCCAACAGCGGCCCGGACGCGGCAGTGGGGAGCCGCGAGTGGCGTGGGACGTCTGAATTGTGACGCGATGGTGGTTACAGCCGTTACTGACCGCGCCTTCTGGGGGCACCAAGCAGCCTACTGATGGCACACACGGCCCAAGCTGTCCATTTAAGGTGTGCTTACGGCGCAGTTTGAATCCAAAGAGTAGATGCGTGCACGCACTGGGGCCTCCAGTTCCTCCCCTCGACACATGTACTGCGTGTGTCAGTAGGTGCATGAATACACGTTAGCCATAAAAAATTAGAGGTAGACCGGTAAAACCAAACAAACTGAGAGCGTGTCACTTTATCTTAGTCATGCAAGGAATTTTGCGCGCCTGTGACGTGCTGCCCCGAGTTTTCAGTAAATGCCCTCAGTTGTATCTCCCACCTATTGCGAATTTGTGCGTGCGCCCTTGTCCAAGAGCATCGAGGTGTACTCTCCACACATGAAGTCCCTTCCGGTGCATTTTTCCATCGTCCTGTACAATTCATCGCGACATTGGTCGGCCTCGCAGGCCAGCTGCATACCATCCAATCGCACACCATCTGCCTCGCAAGCTGTCCCTGAATTACCCACCAACTGCAGCTCGCTAACAATTAACAATCCGCCGCTTTTGAGGCGGTCCTGCTTCGGCGTGGCGCCGCCGCCGGCCCACTCACTGCCGTTGACGTCCTGGTTACAGTCGATGCAGGACTCGCCGGTGCCGCCGCAGCGGCCGCAAAGGTCCCAGGAAGCGGCGTACTCGGCGCTCAGCACGGGCAGGTCGGTGCAGTCGGAGCGGAGCACCAGCACGCGCAGCTGGGCCTCGCTCAGGCTGGAGGAGCCGCCGCACATCTGCCGGTAGCATCCATCGTCAATGACACACCCCAGGCTGGGAGCCATAGCAGGTCTGATGGTAGCATCCACCGTCAAGAACACACACCTCAGGCTGGGAGCCACAGTAGGTCTGATGGTACCATCCACCGTCAATAACACACGTTAGGCTGGGAGCCATAGCAGGTCTGATGGTAACATCCACCGTCAATAACACACGTCAGGCTGGGAGCCATAGCAGGTCTGATGGTAACATCCACCGTCAATAACACACGTCAGGCTGGGAGCCATAGCAGGTCTGATGGTAACACACACCGTCAAGTACACACACCTCGAGCTGGGAGTCATAGTATGTCTGATGGTAACATCCACCGTCAATAACACACGTCAGGCTGGGAGCCATAGCAGGTCTGATGGTAACATCCACCGTCAATAACACACGTCAGGCTGGGAGCCATAGCAGGTCTGATGGTAACACACACCGTCAAGTACACACACCTCGAGCTGGGAGTCATAGTATGTCTGATGGTGACATCCACCGTCAATAACACACGTCAGGCTGGGAGCCATAGCAGGTCTGATGGTAACACACACCGTCACGTACACACACCTCGAGCTGGGAGTCATAGTATGTCTGATGGTAACATCCACCGTCAATAACACACGTCAGGCTGGGAGCCATAGCAGGTCTGATGGTAACACACACCGTCACGTACACACACCTCGAGCTGGGAGTCATAGCAGGTCTGATGGTAACATCCACCGTCAATAACACACGTCAGGCTGGGAGCCATAGCAGGTCTGATGGTAACATCCACCGTCAATAACACACGTCAGGCTGGGAGCCATAGCAGGTCTGATGGTAACACACACCGTCAAGTACACACACCTCGAGCTGGGAGTCATAGTATGTCTGATGGTGACATCCACCGTCAATAACACACGTCAGGCTGGGAGCCATAGCAGGTCTGATGGTAACACACACCGTCACGTACACACACCTCGAGCTGGGAGTCATAGTATGTCTGATGGTAACATCCACCGTCAATAACACACGTCAGGCTGGGAGCCATAGCAGGTCTGATGGTAACACACACCGTCACGTACACACACCTCGAGCTGGGAGTCATAGCAGGTCTGATGGTAACATCCACCGTCAATAACACACGTCAGGCTGGGAGCCATAGCAGGTCTGATGGTAACATCCACCGTCAATAACACACGTCAGGCTGGGAGCCATAGCAGGTCTGATGGTAACGCACACCGTCACGTACACACACCTCGAGCTGGGAGCCATAGCAGGTCTGATGGTACCATCCACCTTCAATAACACACGTCAGGCTGGGAGCCATAGTAGGCCTGATGGTAACACCCACCGTCACGTTCACACGCCTCAGGCTGGGAAGCTCACCGGTTGACAGCCAGGTACGGTGAGCAGCTCCGGGGAAGCTGTCTGGTCCCAGGCGGCCAGCACCAGGCCGGCGCCCTCCTCCGCCTCCCGCTCGGACCACGCTTGGCTAGCGTTCTCTGCGGTGAACCGGAGCCGGTCGCCGGGCGCCAGGTAGAGCGGCGTCACGGACACGCCCTGCCCCGGCTCGACTCCCGTGCCGTTCGCCGCACAGCCCGCGCCCCCGGCGAGCCGGCGCGCCAGCTCGGCCATGGCGGCATCGGCCGGCATTCGGCCGCAGTCCGGCGGCGGCCGCTCGAGCGCGGCCGTCATCTCCAGCGCGCTCCACTGGTCGGCGCCGGCCGGTGCCCACTCCCAGCGGCCGAGCGGCGGGCCGACGGCGCGCAGCACGGCCGCGCCCGTCGCCCGGCCGTCTGGGTCGGCGAACGCGCCGCCCACCAGCTGCGCCGCCGTTACCGTCAGCGAGCTGGCGCCGAGCGGCAGCAGCAGCGGCGCCGGCGGCGGCGTGCCGGCCCGCAGCAGTGGGGCGTCGTTCGCCTCGCGCACCTGGTGACACAGCCGCCCGCCAGCCGGCGTCAGCGCCGCGCCGGGTGGGCGCGGGGGACGCGGTGCGTCACCGCTAGAGTACCCGGCGGTATGAGCAGATTATCTCATGTACAGACGCGAGAGCGTTTCATCAGGTTGGATTCCTTCGTTATTTGGTATGAAGCAATTGCAACAAATGCCCAAATCTGAATGCACCTAAAATTACTGAATGCACCTTTCGCACCATAGGTCTGTCAGTCAGATCACACAAGATGGTGTAAGATGCGCAAGCAAAACAAATATTTTGTATGTGATAACTTGATGTGGGCAAACGTGTCCTATTTCCCAGAAGAGAGGCGTACTCTTCCGTGAGCTACCTCGACTCAACCAACACGGGCGCGCACTTACCATCAGAAGAACCTCCGCCTCCGTTTTGCTCCCCGCCAGGTTAACCTCAAATATGAATCGCACCAGACCTTGGAAGTTGGGTTTGGGTATGAACATGACCTGAGGTTGTTCAGGTGACTCGGGGTCAAGTGGCAATTGTAGCTCCAGTGGAGTAAGCTCCAAGGAGTGTTCTTCCCAGCTGAAAAATACAGGAGGAACGCAACCGTCGTATCAAGAAAATCATAGTTTATTACAGTCAAAACATGAACATACGTAAGACCCGTAACGCCTGTAGGGCAACAATAACCTTTATACAATTGACAGTTGTTAATAACGGTTAATAGCAGTTGACACGCCCTTAAACATTAACAACAACTCTACGCAACCAGCTTGTATGGCGGTGAAAACAGTACTTCCTCGCCATGCCAGAGGCAACAGTGACTTAGACACCAACCCAGAAGACCAAACACAGCGTGCGCTCCTCCCGCTTCCGAGCGGCGCACTCACCTGTCCTCGTCGCCGGTGTACGAGAAGAGCGTCTGGCCTGGCACCTCAGAGCGGCGCTGAATCTCTCCGGCGTACCGCACCCGTACCGGTACCGTCGGCTGGTACAGCGAGCGCAGCTGCTGGTACCCCGAGCGCGGCGCGGTCCAGCGCCGGCGACTGCAGCTGCCAGCTCAGCTCCTCTGCGTGGGAGGGTCAGCGGTCACTGGGCGCCTGACCCGGTCAGCAGAAGAGAGGCGTACTCTTCGCTCTTCCAGGCGTACCAGTGGAGTGAGTGGCCGTACTAAATGGGTAGCGGGTTGGGTACAGATTCTGGGAAACTTACAGATAATTTGGCTGTCCATGCTCTTTCATCAGCAGGTGCTCTGCGCCACCCCGGTGCCCCCCCCCCCCCTTGCTAAGGCTCTAGCAGCGTCCCTAACGCCGGAAAAAATTAAACGGGCGGGAGACGGGTTGGTACAACTGGCAAAGACTGGGTAGCGAGCGGGCTGTGGTCATAGCCTTATGGGTAAAGGCGGACTCGGGAAATGAGATCGCACACGTGAAGGAAGGAAGTGAGAGTCGTGGCATAATGCGCAGACAAGCATCGCATCACGCGTCTCAAGCCGCATCGGACCGGCGCCGGACGACGGCACGACACCGGGCGGCACAGGGCAAGGGGGCAGCCGGGCCTGGCGCTGGGTGGCACGGCACACGTCGGGTGGCACATCTGTGCCAGGGTGCGCGTCACATTTCGCAGCGCGGAGGCGATACTGCGACAGCCATGCCATGTTGGGCGATGTCAAGCGTACTGTGCATACATTCTGGAAGTCAAGCATGCATGTTGGATGATGATGCTACTAGCTATCTATTACCACGTGTAATAATGCACCATGCAGGTAGCACCGATAGCATGGCACGCGCCGCGCTCCGACAGGCGTCGCCATGACGCGTAATACACTGTGTAAGACAACACTGCAGACATCAATGTGCCGGGACGGGGTCTGCGGCCGGCCGAGCAGGACTGACCGAGGTCGGCGGCCGAGGCGGCGCGGCCCACGGAGACGAGCTCTGAGATGAGCAGCGTGCCCGGCTCGTCCTCGGCGAGGGTCAACTCCGAGGTGTTGATGCTGACCAGCCCGGCCCGGGGCAGCACGTACTGCAGCACCGTGTACTGCAGGCTCGTCTCCTTGTCTGCGGTCGGTGGTGCACAGCGGGGGTGAGCGATAGGGGGACTATGTCAATGGGCACGCAAGCGCGTCTCCTCGTCTGTGGGGAGCAGTACACAGCGGGGTGAGCGGTGGGAGGGGCCACCTCACTGTGCACCACAGTCATTAAATTTTCTGGGGACAGACAGTTATGGCTGGTGAAATTCGGAAGGCACGCAAAAGGACATCATCAACAGCATGCTCTTAACTGAAGCAGGATCAGTGCGAAGAGTCTCTCCTGGCCAAGCAAGTTAGACGGAATAGTAACCAGGTAATGGACCTAAGCATGCGGAGTACGGCGTTTTGGCTGGCAAGGTCATTTTGCGTCCAATAAGCGGAACAGTGGATCAAAATCCCTGCACCTCAGTGAATTCACCAACGGCAAGGACAGTTCGAGACCTGTTCCAAGGGAAGTGGTTCTCCACACCAAGACAGCAGGTGGTTCTGCAGCCCCCAAACTACGCCTCTCGACGTCGTCCAGGCACCCACCGACGTCCTGGCTGAGGTTCAGCTGGCGCAAGCCGAAGCCAGTATCGGCCGGCTGGAACTGCACGAAACTGGCTGAAGCGCAAGCGGCTGCCGACGGTGAGTGGGCTGAAGGTGCCGTCGGCCGCGTCAGCTGCCTCCCAGCCCTCGTCGGCCGTCTCCACCAGGAAGCTGGGCGCGTTACCGGTCAGTAGAAGAGTCTGCCGGGTGGGCGGGGCGCGCCTTCAGCGCGGTGGTGAGCCCGGCCGCGGCGCGAGGGTGCGCCAGTGCCAGGTGTGGCGGGACTAAGCACCGAGCAGGAGCGCCGGGTCGGCGGGCTCTGTGCCGAGCCGAGGGCTGGCTGTGAGGCGCGCTCAATTGGCTTCAGAATGTCAGTCCCGCTCCTGGCCGGTGAGCCAGTGCGCGACACGCTGGCAGGTGCAGTAGGGAGGCCAAGCGTACTGGTGAGTGCGCTAGAGTTAACGATTACACCACTGAGTGTGATTGTACACTCAGTGTACAAGCACAATATGGTACAATATGGTTAAAATGCGCATAACAGCGAACAGCAAACGGGTGTCGCACAGAAGACCACCGCGTTTATCATCTTTTGCTGGTGAGTGCAATAACAAATGTGTGCATTGCTGAGTGACAGGCCGTGAACGGTTGGGTCGGTGGGTGAAATGCAGCAAAAGCACCGGCCAGCAAAACGCGGACGGGATGTGTTGATGAGGAAGAGCACGGTGACGGGACGCTGAGTCGGCTGGCGTGGTGAACGAGTGCGCCGATGGTCAGGGGTGTGTCCTGACCTCCGCCGCGGCTGACTGGACGATGGAGTTGAGTGAGACGGGCCGGCGGCAGTTCGCTTGACCCCTGGACGACCGGCTCAGGCAGGGTCCATGCCAGACCTGTGTCCAACGGGTCTGCGCAGACCACACGCCGGTCAGTAACATACCGCACCGGCTCAGGTAGGGTCCACACCAGACCTGTGTCCCGACGGGTCTGAGCAGACCACACGCCGGTCAGTAACATACCGCACCGGCTCAGGTAGGGTCCACACCAGACCCGTGTCCGACGGGTCTGCACAGACCACACGCCGGTCAGTAACACACTCCGCCGGCCTCTGGCAGGGGGTCCCACACCAGACCCGTATCCGACGGGTCTGCACAGACCACACGCCGGTCAGTAGCACACTCCACCGGCTCTGGCAGGGTTCACACCACACCCGTATCCGACGGGTCTGCACAGACCACACGCCGGTCAGTTGTCTGCATTCCAGATAAGGCCAGGGTGGCATACTGATCACCAGTGTGTGCCTTGCACCAGCCCACACGGCTAGCCAGTGTATCATCGGCTTTTCGCCAAGGCACTCCCACACGGTACACTGCCATACCAGGCCAATCTGCTTCAAAAAGCTCTACCAACACATCTGGATAAGCCCAAAGTGTTGCACGGCAACCCAACACACCTCTGCTGACCTCGCCGAGGTCAGCCAACGGCGCAGTGCCTCAACCAGGCTTGACATTTGCACTTTCCCTGACGTTAACCAACAGCAGCCAGTAAATTTGCAATGCCCGAGTGTCGGTGAATCAATAGATTCCCCGCGGATTCTCATTAAGTTAGCAAACATCGCCGGTTAAAAGAAATATGACACATGGTGACATCACGCATACCTCCACGGGTTTCCAGTTCACATTATTTTGGGTAGACTACTACCCCCCCACTTCCGTCACCCGTCGCCTGCCGCCCGCCATCCGTCATCTCCACCCAAATGCGCAATTTGCCCCGCCCAACAGTGAGCTCAGCATTACAATCGTTGCAACGGTCGTAGTAACAATCGACCTGCTTTGCGCGTGCCATTCACACGAAAGGTGCTTCATTTGTCGCACGTTCGAAGCACAAGCGAGGTGGAGAGTCACATGTCCGTTTCAGAGGGCAGCAGCTTGGCTTGGAACGGGGGCCGCAAGAAGTGCGGCAGGCTCGTATTGTGAGCTGGGGAGAAATGCATTTTCAAACAGGAAACCATAAACCTTATGGTGGATTTGGGGAAAAGTTGGGGGAACGATTTCTGAAACGATCGGGCAAGGTAGTGTTGATGTTTTGGTTTTACATTAACTGAAATGCATATGCATTGTCGATTTAAAACTTCGGTGCGCCTAGAACCTGCGTCTGAACGGGTTGTGTTAGCTACACATACTGTGGGACATTCTATTCTTGTGAATACGTTTGCAAACGGACCACACAAATTTTTTGAACATATTACAGTGAACGATGTCCACATTTTGCTTTCCAGAATTTTATATTATATTATATATATATATATATAATTATATAATATATATGTGTGTGTGGTGTGTTGGGGTGTGTGTGTGTGTGTGTGTGTGTGGTGTGTGTGTGTGTGTGTGTGTGTGTGTGTGTGTGGTGTGTGTGTGTGTGTGTGTGTGTGTGTGTGTGTGTGTGTGGTTGTGTGTGTGTGTGTGTTGTGTGGTGTGTGTGTGTGTGTGTGTGTGTGTGTGTGTGTGTGGTGTGTGTGTGTGTGTGTGTGTGTGTGTGTGTGTGTGTGTGTGTGGTGTGTGTGTGTGTGGTGTGTGTGTGTGTGTGTGTGTGTGTGTGTGTGTGTGTGTGTGTGTGTGTGTGTGTGTGTGTGTGTGTGTGTGTGTGTGTGTGTGTGTGTGTGTGTGTGTGTGTGTGTGTGTGTGTGTGTGTGTGTGTGTGGTGTGTGTGTGTGTGTGTGTGTGTGTGGGTGTGTGTGTGTGTGTGTGTGTGTGTGTGTGTGTGTGTGTGTGAGTATATATGCATGTATTCATAAATATATGTATATGACCCATATATGCATATACATAATATATATATAGATAGATAACCAGAACATCAACGGACGAAATCCGATAATTTTTTGGACCCGTTTCCTTATGGCGACTCACAACTCTGCCCATTGTGAGAAATCGACAACCGTTCATACAACTGGGCGAAGAGGCCGATAGGCCCGATGGCAGTATGGATTCGATGTCGCGGATAAAACATTTTCCTTTGCACGCAATCATCTCATGCTGAACGGCATGAATTTTCGAAAACTACCTGCGCTTCGGGTGTTCTTTCGACGTTGGTGTTGTACCAAGATCTAACGTGGAAGCAATCACCGACAGCTTTGTGCTCGTATAGTGCCCCCGAAACGACACGTCCTCAAACAGCAATATAGCACGTGACTGGGCGGCATTCCTTCGAACAGCCCCGGCACGAGACGGCTGACCCACGTGACCACGGGGCCGTGTGATGCTCACCCTGACAGGCACGGTAGGTCACGCACGTCTCCTGGCCGGAGCAGACCACGTGACTGGGCGGGCAGACGACGCCGCAGGCGTCGGCGGGCGACTGGCAGCGGTCGGTGATGACGCAGAAGCTGAAGCACAGCCACCGCGGACCGTCAGTCGGCAGCGACAATCGGTGCAGGGGGGGGGGGGGGGGGGTGCTAGGAGTATTGGTCCGGGGTCAGAAAGAAGTGGATTGGTAGGGGGACTTTGAGGCTCGTGCTAGTGGTTTTGGTCCGGGACGTGGAAGAAGTGGATCGGTCGGGGGGGGGGGGGGGGAAGGGGATTATGAGGCTCGTGCTATT